AATTTAATAAATTATGCATTCTGCAAAAACACCTATGTACTTGTGTACACTTATGTATGCATATCTAGCAGGTTTCAATTTTTTTTCTTTCGTTGTTTAGTGAAAAAATGGATAAAATATCTCATTTCAATGTGCAGTCTCTTCTGCTACTCATCATCGGACGATGCAGTACAGTGTATAATGCTTTTTACCGCTTTCCCAATACTTTTTCTTCCAGGCAGAAATATTGATTCCATTTTTTTTTTTTTTTTACAATTTATAATTAGAATTAAGGTCGTTCATCGCCTGCGATAAAACCACGTAAAAATCCTTTATAAACCATTGCATGTTTTATATTCATGTCATTTACAAGTCTAAAAAAAACGGAATGTGAAAAAAAGTTTTTCAAAGACCTTAAAATATAGGCAAGGAGAAAAAACTTCGATCATATCGTACTATTTGCTTATTTCGTTCTGTTGCTTTCAATTGAAAGCTCTTCTATAACAATGGAAAGTTACTCTAGGGTTATTACGTATGATGTTGAAATGGGGTGCGTTTAACTCCAAAACGAAATTCTTTGACAAGGAAAATAATCCTTAATACTAGATTGCCAAAGGAGCGGTTTTGACAGCTTTGACAACAAAACTTGGGATTTTTGTGACTTCTTATACCTGACATAAATGCATTTATTAATGGTTCTATTTACATCCCCCCTTCGTTGCTTATAAATGTATGCGTTATTTCATCAGCAGTCTTTTGACTGCTTTTGTTTCAGTCATTCTAGCGTTAAATTTTTTGTTAATAATAATATAAGTGCTTTTAATCTTCTCAGTTTTATTGTGCCCTTTAAAAGACTTATAAAATGACATATAAAGATGGAATTAAAACTAATTGCGAAATCATCATTTAACATTGGTACTCTCGTAACGTCACTTTTCCTGATCTCACAAACGTTTCTTAGTGTTCATGAGAAGCTTATATAAATTAATTTTTTTCAGTGGGTTCTAGACGCTTGACTAAAAAACGTTAAATATAATGTTTGAATTGGTAAACGTTTCCTTTTATGTCGTTTTTATAAAATTTGATTTCAGCACAGCTTCAACTTTTTATTTATTTATTTTGAATTTTACTTACATAGAAATTCAACTAAAATAAATTAACAGTCGAATACGATTAATTCAACTAATATAAAGTATATAAGGAAATGTAAAGAAAGAGAAAAAAAAACAATTACACAGCTGGCACAAAGAGGCACACTCACAACCGGCACAGAACAAAGTTGCAAGCGATTCCAAAAACCATTGCAAACATCCAAAAGCTTGCCAACCGACAAGAGTAAACAATACTTGTTAATTCCCGAATCATAATGAGATGTTAAGATTGCAAATTAGTTTAACTCTTGTTATCTTTGATAAGAAACTTAACGGTTTCATTATGAAATCACGATAACTTTTCCTGCTCTTAAAAGTATTGAACAGTTCAAGTTAAGTTCTGTTAGGTTCCTTTTTTAAAAATACTGAATATTTTAAGGTCAAATTATATAATAGAAGCTGGCATTTATTTTGGCCAGCGAGATGTATTGGTGAAAGTGATAAATTAATGCAAAGTATTATTAAATTCGATGATTTTGGCTTTTGTCTATAGAAAACAACAACTTTCTATTTATTATTATTGAGTGATTTACTGTATACAGACGCTGATCATGGAACGCTTAAAATTGCATTTTCGACATTCATTATTTTCACTTGCTTTCATTGCTTGACAAGCAATAGAAGAGGAGTTTTCTGTGATGTATTGTGTTTGTGACTGGCGACGTAAAGTTGATCTACTCAGGACTTCTTTTTCATGAAAATTAGTCGGTTTTCTAAGCAGGTAAATTCTATAGCAGGGAAAAATCAAATACACGTTATCTACGTCATGCAGGTTCCAACTGCTGAAAAGATTAACAACAATTGGCAGAAATTTGGCGAAAAACCGATTAACAGGTTAGCGGATTAAAAATGTCGCGGTGAATTTAGATAATGGTAACCTGTTTGTAAAAGTGTGTATAAGCAGGATATTTGTGGAAGGCAAAGCCAATCGAGTCAGTCGTAAAGGAGTCGCAAGCGAATCGTAAAAAGGTCGAAAATGAGTAGAGGTAGTCGACAGTAAATCGTGAGAGTCAAGTCAAGACACTCCAATTGCAATATTCGAACGGACAAGGTCAGAACCAGAATTAAAGTTGTCGTAAAAATAAATTCCTGTAAATAATTTTTAAATACATTTCTTAATTTTGTAAATAAAACTTACACTATCCTAAAAATTACAATTCAGTGATAGGAACTTTACTTCAAAAGAAGTTGAATAAATAACGTAAGTTCACACCAGACAGATTTACGTTAAATTATAAATCGCCAAAATACAAGCAAGCACCGAATATTTCCTCTATCCCTAGATTCTTGCTCAACTGCCGTTATTACATATTCGACCTTCTACTCTCGGCATTTTAATGGAACACGATTCCGGTAAAAATTGATTTTCTTATCAACCAAAGGGATAATCTTGTTTGATTGTGAAGAAGTATTTATTAACATTTAGATAAATCAATCCTTTTTTTATCAACTTCGTTGATGACTTCTACAATCTTCTAATTGAGGCATGTAGGAAAACAAGTATGCGTTGGATTTATTTTTTTTGGTTGTCAAGTTTTCTTTGTTGTTGGGAACGTTTTTTTTGGAATTGGAAAAAAAGATTTTGGAGTTGAAGTTTGTCATCAGAAAAGAAAAGACTTTTTTTTTTAAGTTGAAAAAAAAAAGAAAAAAATAAACATTTCTTACGGCACTTAAAGAAGAGCTAAGAAAGTGAGAATAAAGAGACTCTGTGGGTTTTATTGCAATCACATTCTGCAGAAATATCTAGAAGCAGAAAGTTTTAACCAATTGAAGATCGCTTGTTTCCAAAGGACCAAAAACACAAAATGCTTGTAATTGTGCACATGCAAGCCGGTCAATGCGGAAATCAAATCGGTGGAAAATTTTGGGTGGTTATATCTGTTGAGCATTGCGTAGACGCCACTGGCACGTATTACGGTGACAGTGATTTGCAACTGGTGTAGTAAAACAAAGAGCGGACGTGACAGCAGATAGTGTCTGAAGAAGTGAAAATTTTATATTTTTCAAAAAAAAAAATAAAAATAAAAAAATTAGAAAAAATAATGAAAAATTGAGTCGTAATTAATTGGGCAAACTAAAAAAACAAAATTTATTGATAAATAAAATAAAAAATGAGTCTAAATTAATTGTGCAAACAAAAAAAGCAAAATTTATTGTTGATTAATATAAAAGACGTATATTGCCGAAAACATTGAAGAAAAAATGGACTACGTTGCATATGTGAAGATACAAGTGGCAGCAGTTTCAAATTAGATTTAACAAGTTGTTAATTTTTTTTTTTTAGGATCTCGAATGTACATTCGGTGAGTTGTTATTTTTATTGTTAATATAGATTATAATTCTTAATTTTATTGTAATCTTAATTTTGAGTCTGATACACAATTGACACTATTAAGTTAAGACATTTATAACAATAACACCTTAATAAAATGTTTGCAAACTAATTATGTTGTTTTGATACTGGCTGGCGAAGTAGGCGAGCACGTAACACACTCACATACATTACACAACCACTTACATCTTATAAATTTATAAAGATTCTATAGGGCAAAATTTCGTTCATGACATGAGAAAATATAAACAATAATAAGCTGATCATTCAATGTCTCGTTGCACGCGACATTTTCATGTGTTATGACCCTTCATTTGGAGATAAATAAATGATATTTTGAGAAGTACTGTCAGTCGTAAGTGGTCACGTTTGACATTTACAGCGTTAGCGTCCCCACCTAGAGCTGTGCCGAAAATAACGAGTTATTCGTCATTCCAGTTATGCCATTGCCTTATAAAGCGATTCAATCTCAACTCTAGTTAATACAAAGTCCAAGCCCCGTTTGTTGATCAGATTTGAGAATATTAAGTAGAAAAAGTAGTTTTCGCGGAATCAAAGGCAAATATATACATTTAAGAAGACTTCTTTCCTTGTTTCTACTTTCATTTAATATTTCGGCAGGCTTATTTTTTTTAAAGTTTGAATGCTGTGGATGCTGGGCCGCGGGTTTCCCTTTTGAATTCAAATGATTAAAATGTACTTTTATACGACGCTTTAATCAAGTTTGAAGTGTGCGGCTCACCGTATTTAGTTAAATATTTATCTAGTGGAGCTAGACTGGTCCTTTGGATTTAGCATTTTGCTAATATTTATTTTCCTAAATTGAAAAACTTTTATAAATTTTATCGTTATTTAACAACTTGAAAGTTATGAAAATTATATTAAAAAGAAGAAAAAAGGAAAAGGAACCAAGCAAACGGAGTTTGTACCACTTTCAATGTGCCAGGTTAACATTTTATGAAATTCCATTTAAGCTGTTAAGCAATTTAAAATTGAATTATATTTTGATTGCGTTATTTAAATGCTCGTGAAACGAAAAAGTGAAACCAGACAGTGAAGCTGGTGTAACTCTAGGTTTCCCCTTTTTGTTTTTTCCTTTTTGAAGTTGCGTTACAAATGCTTCTCTTATGGGCAACTTCCGTTTGGTGGTAATTCAATTTCATTGGTAACAAAAAAATGCTTTTGCTGCGCTTCCTTTTTTATTCTGTAAACATAAAATTCACATATATATACATATGTTTATATATATATATATAATTTACATAAATATATATATATACATAAATATATATATGTACATAAATATATATATATATATATATTATATATATGTAAATATACATTCATGTACAGGCACATTTACAATGGATAAAGCAAAAATTTGTTGAAAATCCCACTCCTTTCAAACTGTTTACTATTGCTGGAGCAATATTTCCCTAATATTATCACACGCACCACCATAACTATCACCATTACTCTTGCGATTATCGTCAATGCCGCAACATTTAATAATGCAAACGTTATCGTTTGTTTTGCAGGTGTTTCGGCTGAATTATATTATGTACGAGAGGGTCAGGTCAATGATTATGCGCTCAACTTTGCGGTTCCTGTGCCGGCAAACATCAACGAAATATCATTTACGTGGCAGAGTCTGGCACATCATCCACTGCCATATAGTCTTAACATAATCACTTCGGATCCGTCTGTGTTGCCACGTCCAACACTAAATATTTCACGTATCGGAGAGATTCCATTAGAGCCGCAGACGTTCGCCGTTGGCATGAAATGTTCGGGCACACGTGATGCTGAGGTTGAAGTTACCATCGCCGTGGAGATAATATTGGACCATCAAACAAATAACATAACGGATTTAGTATTTCGACGTAAGAAAATTTGTTTGGCTGGCATGCAAGAGGACGGCCACAATGTTGTTGCTATCGGTGGTGCTTACGGCAATGAAAATGCTGGCATCGGCAGTGATATTGTTGCTAGCGTTGGTGGGAATGTAGGTGTAGGTAGTAGTGGTGGTTTCGTTGATACAATGCATAACAGCGCTGCGGTTGACAATGGCAATGAACACAATGCCGCAAATGAAGAGCACTCAGTTGAAGGGGGTAACGAGAGTGACGAAACACCAGCTCGTACATTAAATGAGTTTGATGATCCTATGCTCAAAGAGACAATAGCACCACCACCTACTGGTGGTTTAATAACTCTAGTTATCGGCGTCATATTGGCTTTAGTATTGGTGACTACTTTAATTTTAATCGCGTATTGTGCCAAAGGACCTACGAAGCGACCCAATCACGGGGTGCATTTGATAAAAACCGCTAGTTTTCAACGTTTGCCTACAATTTCATCGACAGCTCACAATTCCATTTATGCTTGTCCGTCTAGCATTACGCCCACGTATGCAACGTTAACAAGACCTTTCCGTGAATACGAGCAAGAACCCGAGGAATTCAATCGGCGTCTTAGTGAATTGAATGTTCAAAAATGCCGAGTACGTCTATCTTGTTTGGTTCAAGAGGGAGCTTATGGACGCATCTACCGTGGCACCTACAGTGATTGCCAAGAAGTGCTTGTTAAAACTGTAGCTCAACATGCCAATCAAATGCAAGTCACGTTATTACTGCAAGAAGGTATGATGCTTTATGAAGCCTCACATCCGAACGTTCTCTCCGTTTTGGGAGTATGTATAGAGGATTACAGTACACCGTTTGTTTTGTATTCGGCCGGTAATAATACACGTAATTTGAAATTGTTTTTACAAGAGCCAAGTTATGCGCGCAGCATTACTACTATTCAAACAGTACTCATGTCATCACAGCTGGCCATGGCTATGGAACATTTGCATAATCATGGGGTTATACACAAAGATATAGCGGCAAGAAATTGTGTGTAAGTATAGCTATGGAATGCAATTACAAAATTTTGCCAAAAGCACATTATAATAGGAACGGTCAATTAACATCTATTTCCTTTTTGTCATTCATTCTATTTCGAGCAGCATTGACGAACAACTGCGTGTCAAGCTGTGCGACAGTTCGCTTAGTCGAGATCTATTCCCATTAGATTATCATTGCTTGGGCGATGGCGAAAATCGTCCGATTAAATGGATGTCGCTAGAAGCGATACAAAAGAAACATTACAATGAAGGTAGCGATGTTTGGTCGTTTGGTGTTCTGATGTGGGAAATGTGTACGCTGGCAAAAATGCCATATTCCGAAATTGATCCGTACGAAATGGAGCACTACCTGAAGGATGGCTATCGATTGGCTCAGCCATTTAATTGTCCCGATGAATTGTAAGTTGGTAATCCAAGGAATATTTTCAAATTTATTCTTTTCGAGGACATAATTGACTGACACAATTTGAAATGTGTATTTTTGTTCGTTCGACGATAGTTTCAATTTTTTACAGAACTTATAGCATTTTATTTTGATTTTTAAAATAAAAAAGGTAAGATAGTAGTAAATTTAGGAAATGCTAGCTAAATTTGAGGTAATCAAAAGAATTTAAGAAATCTGTCATAAAAAAGAGTAAAAATTGGTTAAATTTCAACTGAACTGATTTCACACTGACTCGTGATCAAATCCATAATTACGCAAAATGGAGACATCATTTGCTCAAGACACTTGAACTTAGCTTAATGTACTTTCTTCGGATGACTGATTTTAGCAATTTTTGTGGGTGTTAGTTGCTACCTCGTATCATTTCTTCTGCTTGCTTGGTGTAAGTATACAGTTGCGATGCAAGCGAAGTGTCATGGCACACGATGTTATTTAGTTGCATGCCATATTTTTGATAAGTTATGGTTACTGCAAACAAATAAACGGCGCTGTTTATTCGTATCATGTCATGTCGTATGATAAGGATTCAAGCGATTCCGGTAAATATATTTGCTTTGTAAGCGAAGTCGTGTGACATTAATTCCTTTATTAGACTGCTTCTATTTGTTGGCGAATTGATAGCGATTTCATGGTTTTCCCAACTATCTGGTTTTTCAATTAAGTGGTTCGAATTTTCTACATCTGAATTTGTAAGAAAACGTTTTTTGTTTTTTACAATTTTTTAAAACAATCTATAGTATTGCGTTCCTTCTTTTCGCAATGAAATAAATTTTGTGAATATGTATTCATATAAAAAAAATTGAACATATTAGATATAAGCGATGTCACTTCGCGTTTCTGGTTTATATAATGAAAAAAATTGACATACATCGTTTATGTAAACTGAACGAATAAGCTTGGTGCGCCATAGCGCGATAAAAAATCGCTTACATCGCAATGGGAACAAGAGATCTATTTAGCCCGGTGAGAGATCTAAGTATATAAGCTATTATGAGATTAACAATGAGAGGGAAATACGTATTGACCCTAAATCTTAATCTGATCAGGAACAGTGTGAACTCATCCGAGAAAATACATGAAAACGCTTCCGTGAAAAGATATTATTGGTGCTAAAGAAGATTGGTTTAAAAGAGAAATTCATCAGGCTACTTGGCGTTGTGATCTTTAGGAAAATTAACAAATAAGTAGATGGCTGTAAGAAGAACAACAGCTGAGTTACAATGACTATATTAATTGAAATAGCATATATAGCTGTTGTTTAAAGCAGTTCTTATGTATTGTTTTGTTAATATTTTATAACTAAAATTTTAAAAATCGAACGATTTGTTTATTTTTATTTGCAGATTTACGATTATGGCTTATTGTTGGGCTTCCATGCCAGCGGAACGTCCCACTTTCACTCAATTGCAGATATGCTTATCGGAATTCCATACACAAATTACTCGTTATGTATAAACAAACGTTGCCTTTCTTCAGTGTGGTCCTTAAATCCTCTGCTCTCCTACCTCTCCTACCAGATTCCCCCTTCTTCCCAATTTTCCCTTTCGGAAATTTTATAGTTTTGGTTTGTTTGTTGCTACTTTTTCTCTTTAACAATTATTTATAAATGTAAATATGTATATGTAAGAATGCATGGTATTAAGTAATCACTTTTTGACTAAAAAGTCTGTTCAAGAGTTAATTTAAAGCATTATTTCAGCGTTTAGTTTGTAGATAGAATCACGATGGCATATTAAATACAGACATAAGTGAAAAGTTTGTTTTATATATAGAAAGAATTTTATCGTCAAAACTTATAGCAGTAACGAAATGTGTTAACATAATGAAAATTACATAAAAAACAAAAATTTTAAGGAACGTACGTGGTAATCTTAAATTCCTTTGACCTTTAAGGATATTAAATTAAGATATTAAAATTAAATGATAATCACTGTATGTTGATGCTGAAGATTATGATGATGAAAACTTTATGAGAAAACATATAAAAAAGTTACTTTTTCGCAACGAGTCGAATTTTGGATACCCATCACCATCAAGATTTAAGATTTTGTTAAAACTATTAGGTAGAATATTACGAAATATACTGGCTTCTTGAGTTTTCACTTTTCAGTTACTATGGGCATGTTTATAGGAAAGTTTAAGGAACTTTGAAAATTTCAGCACCGATTAGTCAGATAAGTAGCATTATGAAACAGAAAGATGGAGGACCAAGGCAATGAATTTGTTGCAAAATCTCGCAGAGATTGCCGATTTCACTTTGTTGGTTAATTGAGCATGCTTGGATGAATGTTTTTGTTCTACTATTCTACGAAGCAAATGATAAAATCATTGGTGGTGGGTATAAAAAAAACCTATATTATCTAAACATAAGACGTGTACATAATAGTTAAATAAGTAAAACATCTATATGCGTATGTATAAATGTAAACATATATAACATGTGCACATTGCAAGAGTATGAATATGTATACATGTTGTACATGTCGTATATGATTACACTTATATCTATAGATAAACATGTTGTACGTGAGTATATTTCCTAAGCTTTTAAATTTTAAGTATTATGAGAAGAAGGAGCCATATTAAAAAAGATGAAAAGAGAGAGAGAGAGAGAGAGAGAGAGAGAGAGAGAGAGAGAGAGAGAAAAAAAAAGAGAAGGAGAGATAATAGATAATACAAGAGAAAGTGCGTTAAATGAAAACACAGGAGAAAGTCGTGTTTATATAGACTTTCCTCTCCTTATTTTCTCTACAGAAAGGATATCATTTTAAGTTTCCGTTCCCCCCTACTCAGGTGTAGTTATTGTATCTGTAGCTCAAATATATGTATTTGTTTATATGTTATATGTACGTATGTATGCATTCCTACAATGCAATATCTTCTGTTTATTTTTGTTTTTCTTTTCCTTTTTTTTAATCACAACTTAAGTTAAACTTCTGGTGTTTTTTTTTATAAATTTCTAGTAAAGAAGTGAATATGTGAACCCTTCCAACGCATTATGTGCTTGTGTAGAAGTACGAAAAAGAATAATAAAGAAAAATGTAAACGTCCGAATGTATTAAATGAATTGCGTGCAAATGTGTTTTGCTTTAATTTCTTTATTATTTATATCGGATAAGGGAACAATACTATTCAGGTAAGTGTTTAATAGTGTGAATAAGTGGTATTTAAATAAATTTTTATGTGTGTTTGCAAACTCTTAGCAGTTTTGAAGAGGCAAGAAGATTATACTAATTATGGGGCTCATGGTGTTCTTAATAAAATTTCGGTAAATTACGGTAAAATTACGGTAAAATTAAAGAGGCCGGCTGACTGAGAGATAGCAGTTGAATATATTGCGAAATTTTTAATTATTAAGTAGTCAAAGGGGTAAAGCTGTGGTAAGTCCTAAATATAAGGATTAAACAAATAAAATTGCGTTTTATGATTTTTTTAAAGTTTAAGAATATAAATCGACAGTTTCGGCACTTAAAACTATAGGGAGTGGAAAATTAAAAAGGAAGAAAATTACATTCCTCCAGAATCAAATCGCTTATACCCATCGCCCTTATCCGTCATATGACGTCAGCGTTATTTACTTCAGATTTAAGGCACTTACCTTGCCCCATTTTACTTTCCAAGTCCCAATTGATTATACTGTTAAGAAGGAAAGAATCCTGCACGGGGAGTCCAACATATTTATTTTAGAACAAACACACTGTCTTGTTTATCTTATGAATAATAAGTAATAAGTATAAGCAACAAAACGTGGAAAAAATAAAAATTTAATCACGTTTACCTTTGTGGAGATGTTTCCGATTTTTTCAATTTTTTTACAAGTGCTGCCCATAGTTTAATCGTTGTGAATAATAGACGAGAAAAAGACATAGTTTTTATTCTTGAAAACAGACATTTGAAATCTCAGATTTTGTTACACGGTGGTCATGTGTTTGAACCTATTTGTCCCATCTTCGATACCAACCTACGTGCAAGAATTTCCAAATTTTCTGCCGAAAATAACGCCCATAGCTTCATTTTTGTGACCAGGAGGATGTTTACCGCAAACATTACACTGACAGGTAGACAGGGGTCTCTGAAGCTTCTTTCTGGTTGTTGAAAACGTTTCGATAAAATGAATACAACCCTCAACCTTCGGTTTATTAAAAAAATAAAAAATGCAAAAACAGACAACGAAATCCATCATCAACACTACACGCGTGTTAATCCTGATCTGACTCTGAGTTTATATTCAATCAACATCGAGAAAGTCAAGATCAAAGCATTTGCACAATTTCTCAAGGTCGTACCACTGCAACACAGCAATGGGTCCTTAAGAAATTGGCATTGTGAATAAAATTTTGCGATTAAAGATTTTCTGCGCGATTGGCAAAGCCTTTTCCAATGTACGAAGACTCATTTTTGGAGCGCATAATCCTATGGACATATTGAAAGCACCTTGAGAACGTAATGTCAATACAATTTTCGCCGTTCAAGAGGTACGAACAGTGATGGAGAGAGTGTAGACACTAAGCTAACTTAGGTGCTCAATATTCATTTGGATCAAGTTTAAATGAAATCATATCTCACAAGTTTTGCTTTATTCAAAGAGTCGAAACGATAAGTATAATGCTTTGTAGTATTATCGATTTGTCGCACTCTACCGTAGTTTACAAGTTATTGCTAAATTTACATTTTACTACTAACCTAGTTAAGGTAGTGCAATTTTAGTAGTAAGCTATTAATATATTATACGCTTCCGTTATTAAACGATAACCTACTTTAGTTATATTGCTTAAGTTAGCATTAAGTTATTCTGTATATAAGATACTGACCATACATTAGGTAGGTCATAGTCATAATCACATAGTTATAATCATATAGTCATAATCATATAATAGTATAACCAAGTACTTTAAGCACAATCAAAAATCTAAATAAAGAATCTACAACAAACCAAAGAACCTTCCATTATTAAGTGGTGTCACTACAGCTTCTTTGGTAGAAGCACATCTTTGAAGTAATTCACGATGGTTACTTCAGGAAGCAAAATAATATCCATGCTGTAGGGGAAAGTGCCAGATTTAGATAGGTTTCCGCTACTTATTTTGACTACAGTAGATCCGTACTAAAATCAATTCAGTCTGAAATGACAGGAAAAAGGATCTCATTGATCTAATTATTTCCGTTATATTTATCATCCAATTTTCTTTGGATATTCGTTGATTTTTGCAATATTAGCATTTGAAAGGTGTAAGAGATAAACAGAAGTGGACTAGACGCTCGACACAGTTTCCCACTGATTTACACCTCTGCTCACAATACATATTTTATGAAAGGAAGGGAACTCCTTTACGTTGCAGATCACACATTTATGACACGAAAGCACTTAGCTTCATGTGACTATTGTTGCTAATCATAAGGAAGACTTAAATTATTAGAAAATGCTACTTGGTTTGAGGACTATTTTCGGACTCGTGTACAATTTCCCTCAGTTCAATAACAATTAACTTTATGCGGTGTTAAATTAAAATAAACAACTGATACATTTTGGTGTTACCATCGTTGTCTTCTCTTACGCTTTTAGAATTAATGAAATTTTAACTTTAATCAATTTTCTTAATGTAATTGAAGAATTTAATAATGCACATATATTTGAATACGTACCCATATTTACATACGTTGCATGAATTCATTTGTCATCTTTAGTTGACTTTAGCAGCTCATATTGCTGTTAACAAAATTTTTATTTTGTCCACTTTGATGTTATTACTGCCTTAAGTTAGTGCTTTGCACCATTATAAACTCAAGTTTAAGTTACTTTCAGCTATCGTTTGCAAATTTTTTTGATGTATCCGCCAATATGCAGCTGAATTGGTTCATCGTTCCAATATTTCAAGGGCTAATTTGTTTTGCTTTGCTCACTTATGCCGTATGATTTTGCAGGAGTTTCTACATTTTATTATTTTCATTGTTAAAGAAAGAAAGTTGTTTTTATTGACATTGTTCGTTTAACCGAACACAAATCGCTGATCGTAAAAATATCGCATTTTGTGCCCTGCTCCCACTCTTTCAATGGCGCTATTTATTACTCATATTAACTGGAACAACTGCAAGGCTAGTACTGACCCATTGATTTATACTGGCGAGATCGGGTCAGTCAAGTCGCGTTAAAGTCGTTAAAGGCTTGTGTTGTGATGTGCATCTAATATGGATGCCTGGCTATTCGGGTGTTGAGGGCTGAGTACCTAGCAAAAAGGGGATCATGAGGGGCCGTGGTATGTTCTGAACCTTTCTGTGGCGTTTCAAATAGCCATATTAACAGTTTGGTATCACAATGGGCCCAGAAGAAGTCGGATTGTTCTTGGAAGCAGTCCGCAGAACAACGACAGGTATGGCTACTACTGGAACCAAGAAGGATCGATCTACGTTTACTCACATTCTAAAAAAGTCATAATTCGCTCAGCTACCATCTGAAAAACGTGGGTATGTCCGATACCGCTTCATGCAGATTCTGGCAAGAGACGAGGCAGACGTCCCACCATATTCTGTGTGAACTTGACGCTATCTGTAGAATCAGACACGATGTGTTTGGCGAGTATTTTACAATGCCAGACACAACACAAGGAAGGAAAGAACATTTATAAAAGTCCTCAAACTGGAGGGCTAGGGGTATGGGCGAGTACAATAGATCTTGTAGGTCGCTCTACGGTTTGCCCACGCAATTAATAATAATAATAACAACAGGAAAAAATGCATTTCAACTTCACTTAGTCGCAGCCATCATACGCCGTCCAATGTAGGATAGAGTGTACTTGTTATCGAAAAAATTATTAGCTGATATTAGAAACCATATGTTGTCTGGAATCAATGGCAAAGACTTCGACTACATTTGTAACTTATTATAAGCATGGTTCTCTGTAAACTTTAGGAATCGCTGTCATGCTTATGTCGCAAATGCTTTTTTTTATGGCAGCAAATATTGATTTCCGATAGTCACTTCAAAGTGTTTTGCTTTCTAAGTTTTTATATGTTACCGGTTCTAGACCCCGCTTCTTATCAGAAGTACCACTACTTTGTTCCTCGAAAACTGAAGTGAAATTAAGTCCACGCAAATGCGCTTAGGCTTAGCAGAACGGAACGTAAGGTATATTATGTTAATGATATAGCACAATGTTACATACGAAAAGACAATTTACGTCTCTGGTAATCTTTTATACCGTGAGTGCAGTAAATTATTACAAACACATACACAATGCGCCACAAATAAGATTTTAAGTTCAACTTTAAGTAAATGCCTGAAAGTACACATGTCTCCACGCATCATATACTGACGCAAATACGTTAATATTTATGCGTTTTATATATTACAGTATGTAAAATTTTAACTGGAAATAAACATACAGTAGTGAAAAATACTAATAATATATGTACGCGATACCTCAGTACATAAATAAATATATAAATAAATAAATAAATAAATATATGTATATATTAAACATATATATATATATATATATATATTAAACATCCATAGGTGTATATGCTTCCTTAAGTGCACACGTACACGTCTAGCCACTCTCTTACAAAAAATAATATAAAAGTCTCATAAATTTCTCATAACATCTATAAACGCGCTTATAAATGGTGTGGTGTAACCACATTCATAGTTACATAAATAGTTTTATATGCCTGAAGCAATTTCATTTACCAAAGTCATTGTCCTAGCATTTGAGGCGTACTGTGCTTATAAAAGTGCATACGTATAATGTGCAAAACTGAAGGCAAAACTATATATAAATATAGGTAATATTTTTCTAGAGCATACTTATATATTTATGTACCGTATTTGTATATAGGTATGGA